TGGGAGATATGCCCTGGGGGCAAGAAAGAGGAAATAATATATCCAGGGAAAGCGGTTACATGCAGGTTAGGATACTTGCCAGTTGACTTTATAGTTATTTTACTATTTTAGGAGCTTTTGTGAAGCAACCAAAATTTGATTTTTGATTCAAAGACAAAATTTTTTTAGCAATTTTAATAATTAAACCGATAAAATCTAATCTATGAAATTGTGTTCCTAATTTGCAGGAATTATAAAACATTTTTATAACAACTTATATAGAATTATTTCTCTTGAAGATTCATATCCAAGTCAGAAGTTACAGATTCTAAAATTTAAAATCTTGTCACACCACGTAATAAAATGAGTCATGCTTCTTGTACAAAATTACGTTATAAAATTGGTTTACAAAATATGTGTTGACAACATCTTGGCCAATAATTTAAAAAACAGTTTTTGAAATCAATGACCTGGATCTTGCCACGTCATTTTGTCAACACACTTTTGTAAACCACTTTTGTACCAATTATATTAACAATTATATTAACAGTTATTTATTATAGAGACCACAAACGTAAGGTCGACAAAACACCCTACCCCCTCCCTGAGCGACAAAATGTCTCACCCCACTCATGGTGGATGGGTATTCCTGAATTAGTACGTTTTCAAATTTTAATCGAATTTAAAAATAATATTAAAAGATAAATAAATAGGGAAAATGGAAAGGAATTGAGAATATTTTAATCCCGAGGCCACCTCGCTCTATGACCAACCCTACGCAGATGCCAAAATTTTGAAATATTTAAGATATTGCTATTTTGAAATAGGCATTGAACTTCGAAGATAGAAGTGCAAAAGGGAGTAAAGACAGCAACCACAACTGCTATTTTCCCTAATAAATATTGAAAGTGACAAAAGCAACCTCAAACAAATTAGAAAAATAACAAGAATTATGCTGGTTGTACAAAGGCAACGTCCAAGAGCAGTGTCAGAAGATGATTTGGAGAGAAATGATTGGATGAAAAAAATTGACTGTGTTGTAAATTGATAAATGATAGAATACCATGTGACATTATATTAACCTGTAAGTCAACACTGATGTATATATAACAAGGTCCAAATGACAAATGGAGAATCTGTTGGAAAATAATTAATTAATGAATGAAAATTAATTCACCAGTCTTCAGTT